GTTCGTTCGTTCGTTCGTTCGTTCGTTCGTTCGTTCGTTCGTTCGGACTTTTAGGAACGAATGGAACGTCTACAAATCAACTAGTTTGTATCATTTGCATTATTGTTCATTTTATTACAGGTTTGTGTCAGTAATTAATAAAATTAATAACATGTTTATACCAGTTATTGCAAACAAGTAAACCGGTTTTTCGTTAAAGATTATTAGCATCGCAAACAACTGTAAAATGCTATTAAAATAATATTAATAAATCATTAAGATATTAGTAAAATAATAATAAAAATAAGACTGCATGAGATTAGTAAAGGTAACTATAATTAGCTGCTAATTAGCCATTCCAAGGTTGAGTAAAAGACTGGGATTGTTCTAGTGGACAAAAACGACGCCATCTTGAAAATATGTCCGTACGTCATTCCTAAGAAATTTATATACTGGAAAATGAGGTGKTTTTTTTTGATAAAAATCTTCTGGCCGTTGCTAAAAGATTTTCAGTGCTCTTCTCATGGGCTTCGTTTAGTTTAATTTGAAGAGTTTCAATAATGTGAACAGGAAAAAATGACTCTTTCAACTTGGTTTTACTTTCTTAAATTTTATGAACGCCACCTTCGTGTCAAGAACACGGTAAGACCCATGTCATACGTCGAACTTTTTAGTACCGCGTCGAATCTAACAGTTATTCTACGAGTGTCTCCATGGCTTGAAATATTGCATGATTGGCTCCCGTAACACTATTTCAAATTTCTTTTTTTACACATTACGCTTATGTTTCGGCTACAATTTTTGACACTATTAGCCCTGGGTCTCTAATAGTTAACGTCTTCTGTCTTCTGACCATTTCGTGCTGGATAGACGGAGTTAAAAGGTGGTAAAGTAAGGGTGAGTAACATYGCTTTATTTCAAATTTACTGATTTTGCTAACAATAGTAACCTTAAGTTCAAACAAAAAAAACATACTGATAAATCCTTAAAAATATTTAATTGAATATGTTAGAATTACAAAAAAAATKTTCACTTTTAGAACCAAGTTAGTTTTAATTTAATAACTAAAGAATCCTTATTTTTAGGAGTATTTTGAGCTTAAACTCTCGAAAGCTCAAAGTTAATCTATTACTGTTAATTTCTTAAAGATTTGAGTTTTTAAGCGTTTGACTTTAGTATATTAATTGCGTACTGAACTGTTAAATTTTATGTTTAAATCAGACCGCTATCAAACGTCTGCGCATGCGTTAAATTCACTCGAGTTCTTTTTGCTGAAGATATCACTGGATACTGATGGCCAACACTCTTTTTTACTCTTGGTGCCGACCATGACAAGTTTTGAGAAAATTTAAATTTAAAGCAGTTTCGATACCGAAAATATGGTCTCGTATCTTCGTTAAGGCGGGAAAGCAGACACGCGCGTTTAATCCATGTCCAACGCATGCGCAGACGAATTAAGTCAGTGAGAATTGATAATTTTATTGAAACAATTAAAAACGACATCCCGTTGGCCACAGGGAGCCCAACCTTTTTAATGATTAACTTACTGGTTGCTTTGAATATCTTAGGAAACATATGCTTTAGAAGTGGTCTGGGCAATGGTGCAAAATTTGTCGTTTTCTTGAAAGTGTAATTGCTAAGATCCACTGTAGTGATATGAAGATTAAAATGACAATGAAATCATGAGATTTAAAGTGTTTATATAATGACATTTATCACAATAAGTATTGAACCAAATTAGCTGGCACCAGATCTCTCTCGGCCAAACCCTGATTGCTGAAATAGTCCAGTTTCGAGTTCCAAGTTACCGCTGTGTTTCTTGATTACAGACTCATATACTCAGGCTTAGCTTCGAATCAGTGTCTAATTACTCGCAAATACCAACGGTAAAGTAAAGAATGCACAACTTCAACAATACGAATACTTTGAAACTTGACGGACCTTGACTGAGACAAGCGAATATTCTTCACAAAATCGAGGCTAAGCCTGAGTAAATGAGTCTGTAATCAAGAAACACAGCGGTAATTTGGACTCGAAAAGGGTCTATTTAATGGAAAAATTCCTTAATATATTTGAAACACTCAAAATGGCGTAAGACCATATTTGTATACAAGGAATCACCCCTTGATTTGCCGACGTTATGCCAAGTGACGTCAGATCAATTTTAGCCAATCATCTTCTTCCCAATCAAGACCAGAAGACGCCATTTTGAATATTACAAGAGTTGATTAAGAATTGTCGACCCAGGCTCCCAACAGGAGAAGCGGAGAGGGATCTGAGTAACCGAGAGTTTAATTTAAAATATGAAATTTAGTAAATATATATATATTTTTAAGCAATAATAGTTAACAATATTGCTTTATCATGTTTAATGGTAGTTTAAAATGGCGCATTTTGGATAACCTTATGACGGCCATGCATTGATAGTGCAGTACAATATATATTGTTTAACATTGGTTATAGATAGCTGTTTTTTGGTAAAAAAAACAACAATGCATGCAAGAGTATTTTTCTTGTGAAAGATTCAATTGACCACTTTAGAAACGAGCAAATAATTAGGGCGAGTTTTGAATTTTAATCTTATTGGGTCATTTGAGAAAGCATCTCAAGATTACTAAGTCTGGCAAATTTGAACATGATTGGATGAAAAGAACCAGCTAGGATCAATGGCTTTCAAAAGTGTCGAACATTTACAAAGAATGTATGGTTACAGGGGACACTTACTTGCATACCATACATTCTTTGTAATTTTTTCACACTTTTTTTAAGGCTTGTAACTCTGGTTCTTTTTAACGAAAAACATTCAAATTTCACAGACTTACTATCATAAACATGCTTTATGAGATGACAAAATTCTTTTGCTTTCTTTTGCTGAATGAGTTGAGGTTCAAAACTCGCCCCAGTCTCTTGCTCGTTTCTAAAGTGGCCAATACTTTCATGACCTTAGGTACCGTCCTTTTATAGTAATTGTGCGTCGTAATGTTAGCCTTTTCCATCACAACTTTATCTACCTTAGTACAATGCGACATGTTTATAACTATTTCGTGATTTGAAGTACGTATATATATTTTGCGATAAGTTTTATTTTGTGAGTTTTCGAAAAGTATAGATTTTTTGTCTAAAAAGTCAAAGTATAAGAAATAAGGAAGCCAAGCTTATGTAGTCTCAAACTGAAAATAACTTTTTGCGGATTTTTGTGACAAAAATTAACGTGTTAAAAAACATGATTATTCACATTGTCAGTCTTGACCTTATTCGTATTACATGGATTATCTGTTAATCCGAGACCCTGGGTAAGTGGTTTATCGCTTTAGGATCTTAGTACATGCTAATACGTATCAAGAAACGAAGTGTTTTTGGACGCAACTACAACGATATATCCACTAAGGTATAACAAAAATAACACAACACATGAAGAAGGCAAAGACGAATCGGGGGTTTAATTGTTGTCTAAGCTCGAGTATATAGCTTATGCTTCAGATTTTACATTACTCTTTATTCTTTTAAAATAGTAACCAAATCCCCCGACCTCTGAATTCCCCCTTGCAAGGATTTCAATTTTAAAAAGAAATTAAAAGAATTTTGATTGAATAGCCAGATTATTTAGAGCAAGCTGACTAGTTGACTTTTGAAGTCCACCCGGATTCAAACCTTTTTCGCCCAAGAATGCTTCAAAATACAGAATAATGTTGGGGGAGGGTGGTGGGGAGGGGAAGAGGCGGGCATGCCTTAAGACGCTTTGAACTCACACCTTTTGGCACGTTTGCTTCTGAAGTGAAAGTCCTAGCTATATTCCTTGATTTGAAACCAAAACCTAACAATTTTCTCGCCATGCAAATCCTAAGAATGCGAACCCGCTCTCACTAATATTGAGCTGCTCGTTCCGCTCGTTTTTTTAAAAAAAGGGGATAGGGTCACGTGACTTGGGTGGCTGCCATAAAGGCCACCAAAACAAAACAATAGATTCCTGAAATGTTACGTCACTGTCTCAAACGACTTCCGGGCAAAAACGAAAAACAGTTGTAATTTTAACATTATCTTAAATCTCTTAACAATGTAAAAGTTAGTTCCAAAATTCTGATCACCCAAAGTCAAAGAATAAATTTTAGCTAACGTTTTTGTCTTTATTTTAAATTGTTTACTTCATATACGGAAATACGTCACTGTAAAACTAGTTGATCAAGTTCTTGATTCTCCTTAGTAAACCAAACCTTTCAGTCAAAGTTCAAAGAGACATGCAGGCTCAAAAATGTCGAATTTTCGCTTTTATTTGACGGTTTTTTAAAGCATTAAACAGGACGTTTTGACACATTATTGGATACCYAAGTCAATAATTGCTGAAAGGGAAGTCGTAAGAGCCGTTTTCACTTGGAAAAATTAATTCCAAAAGATGTGAAAGATTTAGTACTTATTGTACTTGACCTTGTCAAAGTTCTAAATGGCAGACTGTCTTTCTTTGAATGAATGGGAAACGCAAAAGTAGTGGTGCTAAAAATACTTTTGCTGAAGGTAAGTGAGTTTATATCAATCTTAATATTAAAGTTTAAAGCTTGAAGTGTAAACATTGTCAAATATGTTAGTCAAAAGTCTCTTAAAAACTCTTAATGTGGGCGAAAGTTCTCAAATGTATTTTAGCCTTTCATACAAATCTTTATAGGTCTTTTTATCCTTGTTTCTGTTACTTAAAATCATTGATTAATGAATGTATAACAATAGATGTTTATTTATGGATTAAGGAATATATATTTTTTAGCTTTGTAAATGTAGTAACCTCTAGCTATCCCACAATGCAAAGTTGGGTAAATACACGATATAATAAATAAATAAATAAATAAATAAATAAATAAATAAGTAAGCGAACAAATAAATAAATAATAGTAATAATAAAAACAACAACAATGATTGTTGCTTTCATAGACTGCTTTAGCCTTTCCCATTTCAGTTACACATCATTCCCTTGAGTATTATTTCTCTCTTCATCACTAATGGTTAACCATATCAGACCATGTGTCATTCCCTTGAGTATTATTTCTTTCTTCATCAGTAATGTTTAACCATCTCATACCACATGTCATTCCCTTGAGTATTATTTCTTTCTTCATCAGTAATGTTTTCCCATTTCAGACCACATGTCATTCCCTTGAGCATTATTTCTTAGTTAATTGCAGTGCATGAGAAGACACATGAATTTGGATGCAACAAAGATCCTTATAATATTCTCAAGAGAATGGCAGGTGAAAACATTACAGGCCTATTAAATTAAACTATATGAATAATGGAAATAGGTTTATCCAATTACTTTAATTTATAATCTGTAAATGATCTATCTCAATAAATCTTTTAGGATTAAAATCATCTTGTTTGAAATAATATTAAATATCTGATAAAAGTACTTACGTGAAGGATTCACAAACTTAATGCCTTTGTTGGGACTGAATCCAGGTATTTCACCTTGGTCTTTGTCATTGTTCTCTGTGACATTGTTCTGCAGAGAAAAAGTGGAAAAAAAAGTTATATACTTCTTTTATCTATTGATTTTTATCAACCTTTAGAGTAAACTATTAAGTGGTAGTACACACTAATTCATTCCCCTGATTTCATTACTCAAATGTAACACAAAAAGCAGAATAAAGAGTTATAATGTTTAAAAAGTAAAACTATTTGCTCAATCAATCATTCTTTAATGTTGAAATAACGTAATTGACCATTTTYGAATTCCAAATTACCGCTGTGTTTCTTGATTACAGACTCATTTACTCAGGCTTAGCCTCAAATCAGAGTCTAAATATTCACAAATACCAAAAGAAAATTAAAGAATGCACAACTTCAACAATACAAACACTTTGAAATTCCAAGGACCTTCACTGGAACAGTGAATATTCTGCATCGCAAAGTTAAGGCTATATCCCTGAGTAAAAATTAATAGAGAACTCACAACTGGAGTATTGAAAGTAAGGCATATGAACGAAGCCTTTTCAAGCTTACCTTTTCGTTAGCACTATTTTCATTTGTTTGGTTCCCAATTGATATCGTTGGTTTTGGTACGCTGCTTGTAGCAACAGACCTCCTCTTTCTCTTTAAGTCTAGAAAAAAGTACAAAAACCAATACAATATTAATTAATAGACCATTTATGAATTAGTCAAATACTGCTGGGGAAGCATGGGTGGCGTAGTGGTGATCAGCGTTCGCCTCTCGCCGATGCAACCCGGGTTCAAGTCCCACCAGGCCACTTGATGTTGTATGTGAGTAGAGTTGTTTGTTGGTTCGCTCCTGTGTAGTATGTGAGTAGAGTTGTTTGTTGGTTCTCTCCTATGCTTCAAGGGTTTTTCTCTGGTTCCTCCCTCCAAAAATATCAAGCCCTAAATTCCCAATCGATCTTGGAACAAGGGCCACAGGTTTGTTAGCCACTGACTATTGAAGTGCTACCATCATAAAACCAGACTCATCACAGACTCATTTATATAGGGTTAAGTTGTCGAGTTTTTCTCCCTTCTCACAACCTCAAACTATATACTATTTGAAAATCATAATGAATATTAATTTCTGGGGGTAAGAAGAGGGGGGGGGGGGGTATGGATAATTTCTGGAACTAGCTACCCAATCTAAAAAACAGTATCTATGATCTACAGTCTTAGGTCTAATTCTTAGTAAATCACAAAATAATGATAATCAAGCCGTATTTATAGAAAAATACCTGATTTATTGATGTTACTGCAGTCGCACTTTTTTTCTACCAAGCTGTCTTGTAAAATCTATAAATGCATTGTATAATAAATTAAGAAGGTATTGTTATTTAGCAGACCTCAAGATCACATTTCTGTAACTTATAGGAAGAGTAGAATTGTTTCTGCAATGTTATCACATAACCCTTCTAGGGGATAGACCATTAAATAATTGAGTG